TATTTGTACCATACAAATAAAGTGAAGTTCAATTTGTTAGCAGAAGAATCCACATTGCAGCATTATTTGTGTTATAGAAATAATTATATGTCATAATATGACAGTAAAATTTTATTACATTTTTTTCGATTTTGTTTATCTCGGTTCACCCCATCCTTGATAGTTCGGACAACCTCTTTACACACTAGCCTTCAAATATATAATGAATTTATCATTGTTTATAATTGTCGAATTCTAGTCATCTATTTATTAATTTTAATGTAATACAATATCTTAGATCATATATATCCAAGTACCTATATTATTATTTTTTCTACCTATAGTCGTTATGTTTTCTTATATTTTATTGCTTAATTAATGACTTATGGAGTTTCGGAATTTCTTAGAAAATTGTTTTCAATTACCTTATTTTTTTTTTTTTTTTGCAAATTTAAGACCTATTTAAAAAGTATATTTTTTATTAGTGTAAAAAGAAAAATATTAAAACGTTAACATCATCAGGCATCATCCTTCAGATCAATGTTTCTTTGTACCATACTCTTTTTGTCAAATAATTCTACTTATTACACAATATAGTTAAAATAAAATTTTCTTATTGCAACAGTCACTAAAAATAAGCCTACTTTATAAAACGTTTTATGTTGGATGACGTAATAGTTTAATAAAAACGAATACTTTCCTAATTATCTTTCAAATCGGACTGTAGCTTTATATATTGTATAGTACAATATTATTAAATTATATCTCGGCCTTCAATTATTAAAATTATAATCATATGATTTTGATATTAATTATTGATATTGGTAACGATTTTTGCCGTAAATGTTAGATATTCCGTTTCTCCCATTCCATGATAAATACCCACATGATATCAGCTCTTAGAACTGGTTTAAGGTGCACAAAATGTAAATTATTATATGAATATTAATGCGCTAATACGTTATTGTCAAACATAAAGAATAAACATGATTTACAAAAAAACAAGTAAATCCTATTTTTTAATTCTAACTGCATTCAACTTAACAGAACGGAAAAAAGAAAGAAAAACTAAATAAAATCTGTATTATTAATTTTATTAATTATAAATGAGGAAAATTCAGTCTGAATATTTAATTAAAAAAAAAAGACTTGAACTTTTTTTTCCTAGTAGTTATTACTATAATTATATCATATTTTAATACACGTGACTCTGCTAGTTAAAAACTTGTTTAATGTTTATTTAAAAATTTTTTTTTTAAACTTCTTCTATTTTTACGCACTATAGGTGTAAGGTTTCGCATTGAGACATTTATAACAATGATCAAACAAGCAATTATTAATTCTGAAACAATTTTTAACAAAATTATCAATCGGGAACTATAATAAACTTATATAATAGACTACAACTCGTATTTATAAAAATAGGCAATTATCAAATAAAGTGTGATTGTACTATAGCATATATATATATATATATATATATATATATATATATATATATATATAATTAATAATACTAATATATTTTTTATTCATTTTTTCTATCGTTTTGCAGACAGCCTTGATAAAATAGGATGTATTGTTACAGTTAATAATTTTCTAGTGCCATAAATTGGAGAAGATATTTTAGTTCTTGGATGATTCGAATCTCTGTTTTGAAACGCCGAGAGTAAAAAACAAAGAAAATATTTCGTAATTGGCATATACCTATGTATTTTGTGTATCACAAAATTTGTTTCGTTTTTGCCTGCGCACTTAATTCAATGAATACACTCCCGTATGTATTATTTTGGTGTCAAAGAAAAATGTTTAATGTTCAAAAATTTCTCCAAGTTTTTCAACTCCGCTTGAATTATAGGAGAATAACGTGTAAAGTTGTGTTTCATTGTTAATTGCCCCGTACAAAGATTTCGGTTGAAGTTTATTGCTTTATCGATATTTTTTTAGTTTTTATTTCGTTTAGAGTAAAAAATGAACGTTGAAATCCTCGAAATCATAAATTTAACACGTTATAATTTTTTTATTATTGATTAGTGATAACGTTTGCTAACCCGTACGGCGACATATGATTACTAAAATGACTGTTGTAGGCAAGATAATTAACATAAACATCGCTATCGAAGAAGCGAGCGATTGCTGTGCCTTAATACAAATTGAGTCAAGAAACATATGCTTATCTCTGTTCTTATCCAAAACCAAGCAACATAATCAATGAAATGGAAGCGCCATATTATTGAAGCAGTATATTAAAAAACGAATAAATAAATAGGGTTTGTTTTTGTTGAAAGTCAATGAGAAAGTGTGTGCTGACGATTTATTTTCGTCCGAGGGTGAAAAACACTCTAATGGAGCCGAAGTAGTACCCTACTTACTATTTTATAAGAACTGAATGGATAAGAGATGATTGAGCAGGCGGGATTTAAAGGTGGGGAGGATATTGGAGCAACGGGTGTAGGATGGGATAGAATTTCTTAGGGATGTGGATCGAATAATGAAAGATCTGTTGAATCAGTGGTTCGGTGGGCTCTTGTATACAAATCTGAATTACGGGAACGGGTTCTGCGGGGGTGGACAGAGGATTTAAATGAAGGAGCTCGGAGATGTATGAAGGGCGGCGGGATTGGATGATTGGAAGAGGAAGGGTGCTAGGAAATACTTACTTCGGTAGAAAGGATAAAACCATTTCAGCTCTTCATAATAACGGGAAACAGAGGCGTCCCTTGGGATCCCGAAGATGAATCGTACAAGGCAATTTATCAAACGTTTTAGTTTCGCCTCGATATCCCCGGAGACGCCTCCCATATACCGTCCAGCAATAGTCGAAGTGAGGAAATATTAAGGAACTAATCAGGAGTTTACGGTTTCAAATGGAAATAGGTGGCGGTGTTAATTTAGTCGTTTAAAAATGGAAAAGTCACGGCGGGAAATATCGGATACATGATTTTTCCAGGAAAGGGTTTGATCAAAGGTTATTCCAAGGTTCTTAATGGTAGGATAGAATTTGATGGGATTATCGTGTAGGACAGGGTTGGTATGTTATGAACAGTTTTGAGGAGGTGACTAGAGCCTATCAAAATTACCTCGTTTCAATTTTGTATCGATTATACCGTTTATTACGGTAATTGATGCCCTTATCATTTGGTAATTTAAGAATATAATCGATTTTATAACTGTGTATTTCTTGGCTGATTTCTGGATTAATTTGAGTTATTTTGAAATTAAGATGGAAAGTATTAGAGAACAATGACAAAAATATTTTAATATTCAAGGTAATCGCAACAACTAATTTAGTCATCATAAGTCATTGTATTCAGTTCTGACTCATGATAGATTCTATTGCAACTGGTTTATTAGTATATATTCTTTTATCTTTAATTTGTTTCATTGTACATAATATATAAAATCTAGTTTTATAAAAATAACAACAATTTGTTGTTTAAATAATTATCGTGAGTACAATTTTGTATTATTAATCTTTTCTTTTTTAAATAATGCATTTAATGAAAGTAAAGAAACTAAAATACGAATTTCGGTCTTTCGTTTTCCGTAAACGTAATCCGACTGTGAAAAATTATCAACATAACATATAATTTTGTTGTATCATTATATCTTGGATGCATGAAATCAAATGTTTAGAGAAAATTATATTTTTGAACTTTTTCTGAGTATAAATCTGAGGCCTAGTGTAATAATATAAAACGAAAGGAGAGCCTGTTTGATGCGTAACAAAAAAGAAGCGCCAAAATGTCAACAAATATATATGAAATAATTAATTAGATTTTTTTTTTCTTTTTCAGGCTCCAAAATATATGTATATTACTAATTTTGAGTTAAACATACGTTTAAATTCTTTAAATTATTAGAATATGGGAATTTTAGGCATAGAAATCAAAATATATGGATTTGTGATAAGGATGCAATATGAGGTTTACTATTAGCTCCAGTTGATCTAGCTACGCCACTGATAAATGTATATGGAAGTATCGTATGCGATAGGTTTCAGTTAAATCGTTGTTACGATAAGTCATCACCACATAATTCGGTTATTTTTTCTTATTTCATTTTTTAAGATTTAAATTTGTAAGTCTTAATTATGGTCCATGGTGTACGATTAAATTTAGGAGAACGTTTAATTTAATAAATTATGTTCAAAAATGTCAATAAATGCTTTTAAAAACATTCAAATTTATCAAGGACCAAATGGAAAACTGTCTGAAGAACTTATGCGATGTTTTTATAACTGTCATAATCGTAATCATGCACATAAACTAGTCAGTCAAGATTTTTAGATCGACTGCTGTTTTCACAATTGACAGTAATCTCGGTTTTTAATCTTTCTTTTTTTTTTTTCTAAAAAGGCTACTAAAAAATCACTTTACTGTTCTGAATCACACAATGTTTTAAAAATTATCTTTTGATTTTGATTGATTTCATCTTCATCTATAATAAACCATCACATTTAAACCGAATGAGGAATGTAAATCATTACTAATGTCGTACTATATCGATTATAAATTATTTATTATTATAAATTCAAATTATCTCATAATATATCTAAAGTTAAAGTTTAGATTAAATTAAAAATTATGAAAACAGTCGTGTTTATGTATACTGTTAATATTTAGCCTTCAGAACATACTAATACAATATTTTAAACCAACCTTGTCTCCCCCACTTGTAGAGGAAAAAACAAGAGATCCCAGCGCTTATCTTTAGATGGCGAATTTTAGGGTGCTTTAGCCTCAGACGTTAAGGGCTTGAATGAAAACAGTCTTATTGCGATAACTCCTACATAAATATTTACTAAAGGCCTCATGGCCATTGTTGCATTACTATTTGAAGAAGATTATAGAAATTATTAGAGCTCTATAAAAGGATTAATAAAACTAAGGATGGTGAGTAAGGTTGTGTAGGATATTGAGGTCATGGTGTTGCGTATTATCTGTTGAATGGTGTATTAATGTCGATTTTTAATTTTTTTATTATTAGTTTATTTTATTTTTTATTTATTTATTTTGTAGGTGCACCAAGGCTTGCTGCTCTCCAGAGGACGAGGAGGGAAAGCGGTGGGACTGGCGCCTCGATCCGAGCCTATACCCTCCACTTGGCTGCAGACAAGACCACTGTCTTCGCCAGAACTATCGACAACTTCATCTCTTGCACCAAGGAGTCGAAAGAGACCAGGCCACAGATAGTCATGAGGAACATGAGGCAGTTCATGACGGGCATGAAGAACTATCTTGTCACTCATGGAGAGCGCGAGTTTGAGAGGCATGTCGAAAAGGAGAGGAACAAGGTATTTTTTCACTCGTATATGGTCTTAAACTTTTTTATTTTGAAAATTACACATTTAAATAAAAAATAATACATTATTTATTTTTTTTTTTTAAGTTTCACTTCAAGTATTCTATTTTTCAATTCAAATAAAATGAATAAATTCAGCTGAATCGGAAAAAAATTGAATTCGAAATTAAAAACTGTTTCTTTTTATCTGTTTATTATTTTATATGGACAGTGGCATTAAAAACCCCTTGAGAGTGAGTCAATCAACTCTCTAGAAGATATCAGGGTCTACAGAAATAACTTCCTAATAATGTGATAAGATAAAACTGGTCCAGACAAACACTAGGATTTGTTGCCCTAAGTTATGCAATATTAACAGTCAGCCAAGTCCATATTTGACTTAAAAAAAGAAAGTCTTCACACATACTTCAGTTAATCAAATTATTTATTCTTATTTTTTTAGATTAACCTCAAATAAAAATATAACATTTTTCACAGTCTGACTAGTTTACTGCAGAAAATGTAATAAGAATATCACGTGAAAATTGAGGGGTGATTGAATCATAAATTCCTAGGATATGTTGATAAATATTATTTATAAAATATAAAAAAATATTATAAATATTAAATATAAAAAAATATTGAATATAAATGACAATTTAAATAAAAAAGTAACATTTAGGTATCAATATAATAGTACCATACATATTACTAGGTCCTATCCTAAAAGTAACATTTAGATATCAAAAAAATAGTAACATACTGCTATGTTCCTGGCCTCGCGTTTCTAGGCGAGTAAGGGGTTCCAGGAATCACATTTATTTGTATTAAAATGTATTTAATACTTATATTTGTATTGAAATGTTAGATACCACAGACCCTCTACTGTAGTATCCTAGATTGAACCATATAATTTTTATTGGATTTCCTTTCTAAAGGTATCATGTTTTTAAATTTACTATTTGTTCTATATCTAATTGGTGGCATGCAAGGTAGAATGTAAAATCATCAAGATGGTTTACTATCTATTATGTTTACAAATTTAAATAACCAAAACATATATATATATACAAAATAATAACTAAACCTATATACATAATGAATAGTTGAGAATCATACTGGAGGAGAATGCTTGATGTTCATCTTGCTCCCTCTGGCTGTCTTCTAGCCTGAGTCTCAGCCATCAGTCCATATCTTCCTCTCTCCGCTTCTCCTGATCAAGTCCCTCTCGCTCCCTACCAGCTTGAAGTCTCCTCAGCTGAGTCCCAAAAAGAAGTGTTCAGTCCCAATTCTCTATTTCCCACCTTTCTTCATCCCCCTCTCTTTTGGTAGTCTTTTTCCTGATTGGCTGTATATTCCTAGCCTAAGGGATGACCACGCCCTCTTCCCCAGACCAAGGTAAAGCAGCAGGTACAGATTTACGTATTTCTGGTGGAAGGTGTGAAAAGGTCTTTCGGGATCCTGTTTAAACACTCAGTTGTCGGTCTTGGTCGGTGGTTCTTAAAGGTTTTTATTACCACTTACAAAAGGTTGGGCTTGTGGGTCGTTACCCTCGCTCAGGTAGCGCCAGATGTGGGCACTTATGATATTTATTTATTTATACCTTTAAAATAATTAAATGAATACCACCGGCGGTCTTTACAATACATAGCAATACCTATTACTTGGTTCTATCCTAACCAGCTAGTCGACTTTTCTTAATCAATTTTTGTTTAGATATTTTATTCATTGTTGTAGCTTATTTATTATTGATTTTAATTTTTTTTGCCTCAAATTATTGGGAGATGGCGAATCAAAAAGATTCTCACCCCCTTAACATTTTTATTGGGGGGAGGGTGATCACCACCCTCACTTCTCAACTCCATCCCTCCCCAAGAAATCTGCAACTATTTATAAAATAGTATACCTACAGACCTTGTGACCAAGCTGTTCAGAAGTCGGGAGGACCTAAGAAGGACCACTAATTTTATTTTTTACTTACCGACATAGCCATATAGAGGGAAGAATGAATAGTTGAATGTTAGTGGTATTATTTATTTTAAAATGAATTACTAAGCTATTGAATTCAACTATTTAGTAGTAATGTAAAAACTTATTTATCTTTCACCTGCTTATGCTTCAATTAAACCTTAAAGTAGGAATCCTCCTTTGATAAAAAAGAGATTTTTATTTGTTTCAAAATTTATTCAGAATACAATATGATTATAATTATGTCTAAACAATTACATATCTTATATTTCTAATGATAACCCAAAAATCATACTATTTATCATTCCATACTTGTTTGTAGCTCCGTGCAAATGAATTCCTAAACTTGGATGCCATATTAGAAGGAGTCATGCACAAATTGGTTGTCAGACCCCTTCGTGAGCACCTTTATAGGCTGTTTGTTGAAGAATACACGGAATCAGGTGCAATACAGTTGTTAGCAGAAAACATTACGTATGCTCGTACTAAAACTCCAAAAGATATTGGTATAAGGGTAAGTAAAGATTTATTTATTTATTTTTCATATTTATATTTTTTAATTCTGCCTATAACTTTTCTATATATGAAACTTTATTTCATTTACAGCCTAGCGTTATTCCTCCCAGTGATGAAGCTATGGAAGAAATCTGCTCTTACCTTCAAAAATTGCAAGAAGTGGATTCTCCTTTAGAAAAATTGGAAAATCTTCTCACCTCTATAGCTTCAATTTTTAACTACGTAAGACCTCTGCAGATGTTTTTATGAAACACATAGAGCTATCTCTTAAGTTTTACTATTAATTTCCTTCTAAAAGTTTATTAAACTGATCATTTTTGCTGGCTTACTGGCCAATAGCTATTAGCCAACAAAAAACAATAATAATAAAGTTGTCATTTATTTAATGTGCTTTATTATTTTGTTGTAATGTAACTATAAAACTAAAACTAAAAATCGTTGTCGCATCGGTTTATAAATCAAAATCAATATCATTCAAAGGTTTAAAACAATTTAAAGATAAATGATTAACTATACTCAATCTAATAAAATTTTTGGAGGACTGCAAAGTATTTTCATTTTCTTATATTAAATTCAAACACATAAATGTTTAACAAGTTTTTTATTTTTAATTAATGATGTAACCATTCTTATAATTAACAAGCTTTTGCCATCTAGTTTGCAAATTTTCTATGCCAGATCGATAAAAACCAATTGATTTTTGAGCAAATTATATAGAGATGGCATTTTGGATATCATCCAAATTTGCAAATCTTTTGCCACTTAGTGTTGAAGCAATTGGAATATATGGAAATCCAATGATGTAACATCGAGCGAATATGATGGGTGAAGCAGTACCTCCCACCCTAATTCATTAATTTTTTCCAGGGTTCATCGTGTGCAGTGTGCTCTTGCATTATCATATTGCAGAATAACGCCTTTTCTGTTGATAATCGCTGGCCACTTTTCAGTTCAAGGTTGATTTACATGATCCAATTGTTTAGATTAAATATCTGCATTCACTGTTTGTCCAGTTTTCAGCACTTAATGAACAACGCTGCTCCACCAAACCCACAAAGGGGCCTTTTTGGGATGCAAACTTGGCTTAGCAGTACTTTGTGGCGATTGATTTGGAGAGAGCCACTGTATTTTGCGTTTTGGTTTATCATAGAGAATCCATTTCTCATTTCTGGTGATCAAGCGATCAAAAAATGCTTCTGTATTAGGCCGTTGAAGCAATAAGCTGCTTTTTGTGGTTTCCTAATCTGTTACAAATGTTTTTGTATGGTTGTCCAAGGTTGGTTAAGACTGTTTGACAACTCCTCGATTGTCTGACGTGGATTTGCCTCCATTGCCGCCCTTAATACGCCATTGTCTAATGTTGTTGGTTTTCCTCATCAATAGAAGTAGGAAAGACCAAATTTACTGAATTTGAACTTGGAAAAAACCTTGGCATTTAGAAACATCTAATGGATTTTAAAAGTGTGCTATGCCGGACTTGTACCTCTTCTGGTATTTGGCTTGCTATTTCACCCAAAATTGTAACAAAAAAAAAATTAATTTAATTACTACAACTAAAGAAGCCGCTATAACCTTAGAATGTATTTGCAACGACATAGAGGTACACAATGAGCTGACAAATGACAATCAAATAGTGATATGTGCAGAAACGACATTACTTTCCAGTCCCCCTACTGCTGTAGCTAAGTTGTAACTGAAGTTAGTGTTATTAACTGTCAGTATTTATAGTTTTAATGCAAACTTGTGTATATACTTATGTTTTTACCTTCTTATTCTAACCATTTGCAGGTAAAGGTGAGTAACAATCCTAAGACCGGAGTTCTACTTGGTGCTGATGACTTTTTACCTATATTTGTCTGGGTGCTTGTACAAAGTGGAATGGTAGGTGCCGAAATTGAAGCTGACTACATGTGGGGTCTTCTTCATCCTTCATTGTTGTCTGGAGAAGGAGGATACTACCTGACTACTCTGTCCAGTGCTGTACATGTACTTAAAAGTTTTCGTGCATGTTCAGAGGAGCATTCCGCATCTGGAGCTCCCCAAACTGTAAGTAATCGTAAAATCAACCTCCATTGTGAATTTAATGATATAGGTTAAATTTATACCATCAATGGACTCCAAAATTACCCCTCATAAGATGGATTAGCCGTACTGTATACCTCAGTATTACTGTGTTTTTCAAGATTTTTGTATTAACACTGTTTTAGAAATATGGTTTCTCTATGAATTTTGTCAGCATGCATTGTGATATATTTTGACAAAGGATTGTATTTATTATTTATAAATTTAGTGTCAATTTTTTTACTATTGTTTAGTTTATTTATTTATCTGGAACTGTAGTAGTAATTTAGAAAATAAACTTATTGTTGTATTTTAATGTATACAAAATAAATACCTTCCCTATACCAATGATTATTTCTAACTTTGTTGTTTAAGATATAATTTACTCTATGCTCTACTCTACTCTATGCTTGTTTTCTTTGAATATCAGAATCTTCTCTATTGAGTTAACCATCTACAACATAGTAAAAATTATTTAGTGAAATATAAATAGAGCTGTAGTAAATTGATTACATTAAATAAGTAAATTTAAAAATTATTTACTTCTTTTATAAGTATAAATGAAAAACTGTCCAGATCATTTAAATGTAAAAATAGTTGATGTTTTTAATTTGTTGTGACTGATTTGACTTTTTGTTAAGATATTATTTGACAATATCTTTTTAAAGATATTGTATAAATAAATGTTTATTATCCTGTTTTATTGTTTATTGTACATGTTTGTTTATCAACTCCATTTGAAGTTGTTATAATGTGAGAATAAACATGGCAGTTTATTTAAATCTAGCTCTGAACTGTTTTTTTTTACATCATAGACCAGCCCAAAATGTGTTGGAAAAAACAAATAGAAAGTGTTGGTTTACGATATATGTGTGTATGGTGTCAAGTAATTTCTTACACTTCCTCAATATTTGTTTTCAAGTAACTAAAACCTTGCCAGTCATGATCAATCAATAATTCATGCCTAGCAATGAAACAAATTCATCTAGTACTTCCTTTTAAACAGTTTTGATCTAATGAATTATGAAAAGTATTATAAACATCAGTAATAAAAAATATTATATATCCGTAAACATAAACATTTTAAATAAGTAAAATTGTCTTTATTTCCTTGAATTTTACTTTGGGATGTAGACGCTATTCCAGAAGTTTGAGGGGAAGAAATATAAAATAATATTAATCATAATACAAGTGTAATAAAATCCTTGATGCTGATGCTGAATCACCAATTGCTATCTACATATCTCCTAGATAATTACTGATACCTCCTTACAATACCAATAAAAAAGAAAGTATGATAAATGTCGACTTTAACTTGTAGTCTGCCATAACATTCTAATGAAGCCGATTAAAAAATAAAAAATAAATAAAATACATCCTCCTTGAAGCCTGAAAAAATGGCAAATAGCTTCTTCAGAATCAATTTTTCACAACTTTAACATTAGTAATTTTGTTACAGAATGATAAAGTAATTAATTAATAATTCAAATTTTGGTTCTCTAATGTATGTTCTCTAATGTAATCAAAGTATGCACTTATATTTGAAATTGAAATGAATAATGACCACATAAAATGAGATGATATAAAGTTAATGCTGTTGTACTCAGTGTGATTTATTGATAAAGAAATAACTATTATTAATTTATCCTGAGTACAGTGTTTATTCGTTCTAATTATGTATTATGGAGCTTTGGATTTCAGTCTCCTGAGAATTTATTTATCAGGAATTAAGTCTGAAAATGCTTTATTCTGATTATCATAAGAGAAACTGAATACCTAATTTATTAAAGAAAAACATGGCTGATCTTGAAAACTGAAATTAAAGTTTTAAGAATGATCACTTCACATCATCAACCATTAATAATAGCACCAAAAAAGGAAGTTACAAAAAAAAAAGGACTCCTTTATGGCCGTTGGCTGAGCAGATTGATGCAAGGGTTATGCAATCACACAAGATGTGGGATTTGATTCTCACTTTGATTATTTAATATTCGTGGTAATTCAATAAAATGAGTCTCGACACCGTCACCCTGGTTGGTCTTTTTTTTTTACCACTTTCAGTAGTGTTAACAACTAAATTATTCTGAGTTTAAAGGCGAAATCAATTTGAGCTTTTCTGTTAAGATACTTATTGTTATTAGCAGGATGGAATGAATATAATTGAAAAGTTTATATAAATTTATAAAATAATGCCACTAAATTAATATGGAATTTGAAGTTCATAGCAGGACCATTTTATTATTCTTTTTTCAATGAAAATAGAGGAAAGAAATTCTGATTTACATCAAATTAATAGAATTTGAAATGATATTAAGAAAAATTATACTTTATTTAAAAAAGTGAGAACAAAGATCCAAAATATAATAGAATGAAAAAAAATCGCAGGAGTCATAAATGTTATTACTAAAGACTTAGCAACTTCAAGCCGTCCTAGTATAGATTTTTTTTTTCATGAAAAACCCCACCCACTAAATGACTAAAAGTATTGAAGTAAATGATTAACTGTTAAAAGTTAAATGATTTCATTGTTTTCTTCATTTTTTTTTAAGATAGATTTATTATGTAGATTTTGTAAAATAATATATTTAAAGTTTAGCCATAAATAATACTCTTATTTCAGTTTGAATACTTTATAAATTTGTTTTGATATATATTTTGTTTTGTTTTTTTCCAGTGGGGACCAGGTCCATTATCTGAATTTAGATCTGTATTAAAAATTGTTGTTCCTGATGAAATGAATGGTTCCATAATCACTAAGACACTTCCCATCAGGCCAAACATGACAACTAAAGATGTATGCAAAATCATCGCTCACAAAGTGAGAATAACCAATCCTCAGGATTATGGACTCTATAAGCTTGTAGATGGAGAAGGTAAGAAAGAAGTAGTAATCTATTGCTGAATTTAATTAGTATTTTTATTGCATTTCCTTGGAAACATGTTTCATTTAAATAATTTTAGTTTTTGCATATTATTATTTATAATTTTTCCTCACTCTCCATTACCTTCTACAACGTTCTATATTTGATATCGTCTTTTCTAAAAGTCTGAGGTTTCCTACGATATTTTATACTTTACCTTCTGACATGGGTGATAAAGTCAGGACGCAGTGATTGTGAATATTTTTTCTTGGTGTCAACGTTTCAATCTTTACATGTGGGTCATCCATCATCAGGCCTGAAAATTGTTTAATACAACCAGAGATACAATATTATAAGACAGATAATGGTTAATAATTGAAAAAATAGTGATGGATGATACGTGAATAGACAAACTAAAAGGTATAATGTATATAAACAATTTATAAAAAATGTAATATTTATTCTTACTAATGATGTTTCAAGGTAGTTATTCAAGCCCTTAGGTAAGTAAGTAAAAGGGTCACTGGAGGATTTTCCAGATGTGCTTTTTTTGGATAGCAAAAGTAGGTAAGCAAAGTCGCAGGGCGGGAGCGTTATCATTGTTATTTGTGGAATGCAAATTATTGATAAATAAAATATTCAAGGAAACATATGTACAATAGCTACATTATTTCTAATAGTTAAAAAAATATCACTATTAGCTAGTAAAACAGTAACAATAAATCAGAGATGACAGTCAGTATAAACATAAAACAATTTGAGTGAAGTTATACAATAGTTAGGCAATTAATGTTAACAATTCTGGCAATTATAATAAATTAAAATGATAACGCATCAATACAATATAAAATCGGGCCTGCATACTTTAAGCGAGGAAATTGTTCAGCATTTCATGTTAATACAACACCATGTTAGGGAGCGAAAAGGAAAAAGCAGTGTTGAAAACCAAATGATAACGAGTTTAGTTGAACATATGGATTAAAGATATACTGTAAACAAGGGAAATGTTAAGCATTTCATCTTCTTTGTAATGAGCTATTATTCAAAATTGTATCTTAACCCAACACCGTGTTAGACAGTAGGAGAGGGAAAAAGATAGCGTCCAAAACCAAATGATAAAGAGTTAATGCTCATATAAAGTACCAATGCTAATATTATTGCAATATTGAAATTTTATTTTGACAAAATTATTAGTATTATATAAAAAATAATAAGAGAAATAATATAAATGATAATAATAGCAGAAATTCTTAGGCATAATGGAAAATATATAATAATATAACATTATATAACCCTTCAACTGAAGACTTTCATATAAATATTATAGTCATTGGATATGACATAAACTAGTAAGTATCACTAATTTAAATAAGTAAATTATTAATCATTAAGGATATTTTTAATTTTAAGGACACAAGGGAGTGGGATAGCTCAGTGGTAGGAGGGTACTGAGCTTCCAATGCTAAAGGTTCCAGGTTCGAATCACGGCTCATGGAAGAAAAATTATTTATTCTGTTTCATTGGCCGTGGGACGATCCTGACTAGGTAGACCCCCCTAGGGCACACCCAGCCTCTATAAAGTGGGTACCCTTAATTAAAATAATTAATTAAGTGGAAAACCCTGGTGGTTGAGCATGTTAGTGAGGGATAAAGGAAAAAATATTGTCGAAAACCAAATCATAAAGAATTTTATGAAGATATGGATTAAAATATCCTATAAACTAAAAATTGGATCTGCATACTTAAAGCGAGGGAAATTTTCAGCATTTCGTCCTCTTTATAATGAGCTATTATTTATAATTTATATTTTTTATTATTAAACTTGCCTTGTTGATGTTTTCATTTCTATTGTGTAGTCTAAAGCATACACCTTCATTTTTTTTTTTTTTTCATTTTCCCCATTCTCTTGTCAACCTTCAAATTTAACTACTCCTATGTTTATCATATAAATATATATATATATATATATATATATATATATATATATATATATATATATATACACATATAAATAAGGTCTGTTCTTAATATAAATAATATATTACTATAAAAAGACAAAGATGAATTGATATTTATATTTTCTCTATTCTACAATATACCATCAAAAATATTGTAAAATATATTATATTGACTACTTATCATTTTAATTTATTACAATTGTCTGTAATGTTAACATTAATTGTCAAACCATTGTATGCCTTCACTCAAACTGTTTTATGTTTGTATTGACTGTCATCTCTGATTTATTATTACTGTATCACTTGCTAATAGGCATAATATTTTTTTAACTAATAGAAACAACATAGCTATTGTACATATGTTTCCTTGAATATTTTTTTTATCAATGATTTGCATTCCACAAACAAAAATGTTAACCCCAGCCCTCTGACTTTGTTTACATACCTTTGCTATTTAAAAATACAGCACATCTGGAAAATCCTCTAGCGACCCTTTTACTTATCTACCTAAGGGCCAGTACTTGGATAACTTTATTCCTTGAAACATTGTTAGTAAAAGTAAATATTACATTTTTTTTTAATAAATTGATTATATACATTATACCTTTTAGTTTGTATAACTTAGAGAGGGAGAACATATTTCATTTGTCTATTCATGTATCATCCTTCACTATTTTTTCAATTATTAACTGTGTCTTATAATATTTTATCTCTGATTTATTGCCCATGATATGTAGTTCAGTCAACCAACTTCCTTCAATTATAATTTCTGACTATTATTTCTGGATATTCATTTCCGGCCTAAACTAACATTTTTCTTTTTTTCTCCTTTATTCAATTATCAAATTCTTTCAAATGTTATATTTAGCTTTTTTTCATTACTGCTAACAATGAGAGTATATTTAATTATTGAAAATAAACCAAATTAAAGGTACTTTAGAAAAAGAAATTTTGAACATGGGGTATTTAAACCCTGTTAGGCAACATCAATGGGGATAAGATCTAAATAATATTAAAGACAATTTAATTGTACACTGATATCCCAAGTTTAATCAAAATCATTTGAATCCTTTTTGGAAAAATTGTAAAATGATGCAAAATTGATGATGAAGTGGCACTTCCGGTTAGATTTTAAGGGAAAAGGTTGTTGCAACATCCCAGCCATATATTTAACTTGAATATGTATTTTCAGTTTCATAGGAATTTTTATTTTTGAGCTTGACTGTAACATACCCACACAGAAACCATTTTGTCTAACTTGGTTATTTGGACTCAGGGCACCTCAAAACATGTATTTCCGTTGAAAACTCAGATTCAAAATTTTTCACAATCACATTCTTTTCCTTACTATTTATTACGTATATAGATAGGTGAAAGTAAAAACAGTCTACCTGTCATACAATTTAATAGTATTTAGTATTTAATATTGAAAATTAAGAGCTTGAAAGTGTAGTATGTCAACAGCAATAAAATCCATTTTTTTATTGTTGCACTAATCATTTTTGTTTAGATAATTATTCCCAAAATTGGTACTTTATGTCATAATAGGTTAAGTCATAAAAAATGAACAATTTTGTTTTCTTGGAAAATTTAATCCTCTGATCAGCTTTATTTATTTTTTCAATCTAATTAATAAGATTTATAGTGGTTTAACCCCTGGACTTTCCCAAATACTTTTGTAATGAATGAGTTTAAATGATCTGTTGCCATCAGTTTTGTGATAGATTTGAAATTTTGGTAATATTATGCCAAATAATTTTCACCAAAAATAAAAAAACCTGTTGTGATAATTGGAAGATCATGCTCTTCCTGAACAGTCTGTGTTTTAATGCTATACTTAGAAGTATTTACAAATAATATAATTGGCTAGAAAAAATATAATTTTTTTATGACTCATCCTGTTATATATGTAAAAAATGAAATAAAATAAACTGTTTTTAATAATAATTATATATATTTATAACTTTTTTTGTTTATTTTTTTAGAAACTGTTTTAACTGATAGCGAGTGCCCACAAGATGTCAAGGGAAATGTTACCAACTTAGGAAAGCACTGTATGTTTGCCTATAAAAGGATTGATGCCAAAATAGCATGGCCTAAAAACACATCTCAATAATTTCTTATAAATCCATATACTCAGTACCTTATAGATTTTATCCTAAGACATATTATCCTTCTGCAAAAAGTTTATGTGATGTTTTAAATTATGTAGTATTAACATGTGGTATTAAGGTACACTATTTTTTGTTTAAAGTAGAAAATGTGCTAGCAAAAGAATTGTGAATTGTGGAGCATATAAATATGATACTTTTTTACTATTGTGCAATAAATGTAACTTTTAAATTTTCCATTTATTAACAATTTTTAATAAATGTGTATTTTAACTGTTTTATGAACTAATGAAAAATTCAGTATTTGAATATTAATTTTATTGTATTGTAATTGCTACTATAATTTCAAAAATAATATTGTTATAGTGGTAATGTACTCGTGGGAACATGAAATAGTATTTAATCCATGATTTATTACCAATGTTACCTATAATCTTAAAGCAAAAATCTGATTTTATTGAAATTAATAACTTTACACAGGCGATCTTTAGTTTTCATCAAATGAACTTTCATGAGGGGCCTTATGTAGTTAACAGACAGTAGATTTAGATTGGGACACCTTCTTTTTTATTAAACCTCAAGCTATTAGAAAGACATATTTTCATAAAAACATCTCTGTTTTGATTATTTATAGGTGTCTTGATTTACAATATAATATACCTTCTCTATGTATTTTATTATAAGAAAGCAATTTAAAAGTAATATTAATGCTAGTCAAAAGAAAAAAAAACAACTTTTTTTTCATAATACTTATGATTTTATATATTGTTATAGTTTTTAGTGAGTGACAATATCATTTGTATTTTAATAAAAAGCTGTTATGCAAAACACCTATATTTGCTCATCTGCTTGTTTATATATATATAAATGACTTTACAATGTTCTCATTTATCTTCCTTGTATTTAATACATGGATATTGTTGCTCAAAGTTTATAGGTTATGTCAAATTATGAAAGCTGGTGATTGGCTGAAGTTCTTGATATTTTCAATAAATAACTTTCCATTTGTTTCTTAAATAAAATATTTTCAAATATTACAAACTATACTATAAATGACTTAAAGCAAAAATGCTAGCCTTGGCTAAATAGATCTTCAGCCAATCATTTTGAGTTCTATATTATATGTGACATTGTAGAATTTGTATAATTAATTTGTACATATATTATTCATTTCGAAATATAACACGAGGGTGAGCTGACACCTTCAAGATTATGTCTGTTTGTATGTAGAGTTGTTCATATTTAATTTTAGTAACTTAATATTTATAATTTTTCTATTCTTGTATAAAGTAACACGTTCTTTCTTTTCCTCTCTATATATTTTTCTTTATTATCTTGACCAACGAGGTCTGATGTTACTAACAAAACCCATTTTACCAGTAGATGTCATAACTGGAAAATCCATGATTGATAGCCATAAAATTACAATAAACTATCTTTTCAGTGAGTTTAGTTGTGTATTACCCATAAGACATTCTCATAGTTTTATTTATTTATACTGATGCCCATAATAAGCAAAGGTGATCTAATTATATTGCTGTAAAAAAACAACATAAAATGTTTCACAAAACAGAATAGAACAACTGAAAATATAACCAAAATTCATCAGTATATATATATGTGTGTGTGTGTGCGAAAATGTACTCATATGAAGGGAAATATGCAATTATTTGTGTTTTAACACTAAAAATAAAAAGGGAAAAAGAGATAAACTTAAGACACCTGTTCCTTGTAAGATTTACCTTTTAAAAAATAATTTGAGTAAATGATTATATATATATATATATGAACACATTTTATGAATTATTTACTTAAAATAAGATTTAAAAAGATTTGATGTTCCAAAAACACCTTACCTATTTAGATTTCAGCCTATTATTTCCTGCCTCATATTTTTAGGCCAGATTTCCCAGATATGAGGTTTCATTCAAATTTTGAAGGAAAATAAAAAAAATACAGCTAAATAATCGGTTAATAAGGTTATCATGTGAGGTCACCTGTATGTATTTATAAATACAAATCAACAAGAACAAAGAAAGCTTAAAAATGAAAGAATTATTAGATTAATGATGTAGAGATGGTTGACCGTGACATAATATGAGAAGGAGTTGGTCGGTGGGAGAAGGAGGTGCGATCAAATAAATACTAAATTTAAAAAAAATAGTATTTTTATTTATTATGCTGACGTTTTGACCCACCTTGCAGATCTTCATCAGGGCTTGGCATGTGGCACTGCAGGAGACCACAGTCTGGCCAGTCTATCAACTGCCTCCGGCAGTGCCAAATGCCACGCCCTGATGAAGATCTGCAAGGTGGGTCGAAACGTCAGCATAATAAATAAAAATACTATTTTTTAAAATTTTGTATTTATTTGACTGCACCTCCCACCCCTCTCCGACTAACTCCTTCTCAAATTATTAGATTAACATGATTAAACAATTACATTAATAAATTTCTCTAATTTTAATGCAAGATATTTTAATAGATTAACTTTTCATTTTTTATTTGTTTTCTTTCCTTTAATTAAGAATTTTCATCTTTAATTTAGGTATAAATCTGGTAGTTTAAATGAAGGCTCAATCCAAAATCATCACTGCTCTCTACTTTGTGACAAATAAAATCATTCATAACGACCTTAACGTACCATATGTTTCCAATTTAGCCCAATCCAAATACCTAGACTTCCATAAAAAAACTTCAAAACCATCCGAATCCTCTCGTTTAAAACCCTGCTTCCTCTTCAATACCTGATAACCCTTAAAGACGTCTGAAAAGAAGATGGCCTTGTGATCTACTTATCTAAATATATTATTAGAATGCTACCAATGGGTAGTTTCTCAATAAGCGTTTTCATGTGATTGCATAATAATAACCTTGTAAGGTAATAACCTTGTGCACATTTACTGGATGTATTTTTAATTTAAATCTCATGAATAAATAAAAAAAAATAAATAAATGAAGGCTTAGTGGCAATAAAAAATAAATAAATTAAAATGTATTATAATCCTTCATAATTTTCTCATGATCTTCGTTTTACCCAATTTCCATAAAGTTATTTAATCTTACATTTGGGCTCAACTAAGGTAATAAACATTATAATCAAAATATTAAAATATTTATTTACATTTATTACAATAAAAACAAGCATTTATCATCAAGATTTCAAACTTTTGGGGCATTTAGATTAATCCAGTCAATATATTTATCCACCCTAGTATAAACACTTGGAATCCCTTCTTCTCCACATCTATCTGAACCAAAGGATAGAAGACCGATCTACAAAAATAAAAAAAATAACCAACAATATTTTAAAGAAACAACGTTATAACTAATAATACTTAAGGAATAGATTCAGAAATAATGATTTAAGTACATTTTTTTAGAAGGATTATTTGAAGATTGAAACTAAAACTTAGTAACAATTTTTTAAGATGAATAATATAAAATATAAAGGATTGCTGCCCAATTATATTGGGTTGCTATACACACAGCATACTCTTCTATCCTTAGAACAATATATGAACTTATATATAAATATACAGAAGTATTAGTTAATATTTATATTTATTTTATAAAAAGAAAAAATCGAAAAGAGAATTTCAATAACATTGATACTTCTAAAACTTCGTAATTTGAAATGTAACTTTCTCTCGTACTCCCAAGGTTTTAAGACCTAAGGCATTGATATTTTATCCGAATTAACTGTTATTATTAGTTGGGCACTACAACTCATTGTCGAGTCCTGGCCTCCTGTACCAGCTTCCTCCAAATGTCTTTGTCTCTGGCATCCATCACCCAGTCCTTGATGCCGAGCATCTTTTGTCACACCATCAGTCTATGGAAGCTTTGGCCTCCTTCTCTGTCATCTTCCAAAAAGCTGTTCTGTCAACAGTTTCTTTGACATTTCTTCATCTTTTATACGGGCCATATGACCAGCCCAATGTAGCCTTCCCGTTTGTAGGACTTGAACATCAGGCTCTCGATACATATCTAAAAGCTCTTGGTTGCTCCTTCTCCTCCATTTATTGCCTATTTTTTTTCCTCTTAATATTCTACTAAGAACGTTTCTTTCAAAAATTTGAAGGTCTTGTTCACTGTTCTTCGAAGGAGTCCATGTCTCAGAACCATAAAGAAATATTGGACGTATTAGGGTCTTATACAAAAATAATTTTGTTTGTCTAGAGAGGTGGTGACTAAGTATCTGAATTAATAATCAATCATAAAATCATATAAATTGTTATTATTTAGTCATAAAAAAGACATTTACCATTAACTTCTCTAACCCTGTTTTAACAGAAATAATATAATTAAATTTATTATTATGGTAAGATAGTAAAAAAAAGAGTATCAAATTGTTCTAATCCATTTCATCACAGAGATGCATTTAAGCCTCATTAATATATATATATATATATATATATATATATATATATATATATATATATATATATATATATATATATAATATATATATATATATATATATATATATATATATATATATTTTTTTTTTTTTTTTTTTCAATAAATGATTATGGGATTTTTATTTCAATTCCTTTTCTTGCTTAATAGCTAGATCTTTATATCATTAGAGGCCTCATTAAAGTTTAGCAGTGTAAAGAATGTTCTGTTTAAGTGAAGTAATGATAAAAGAGGCCACTATAATTTTTTACATTTCACTTATTATTTGCTTCAGCATATCTATAAATAGAAATTTTAATCTCATATTGTAATCAATGTAATTAAATAGTAATTATTACCAGAGTTAACATTTATGAAAGCTGCACAAAAACTCGTGAAGGCTCCATATTCCCATCCTGTTAGCTAGGACTTAAAATTAGTACATCAAATGTAAAAGATAATTTAAAAATTGTTTCAGTATTTTTTTGTGAATTTGGAAAAAAAAATGTTAACTCAAGAAAAATTTCAAGTAAATTATTTATGGCCTTTTTTAATTTAATTTATTCTTCTTGACTTTATAAAAAATAATTAAAAATCTGAAGGAATAATTTTTCAATTGGGAAAGCCAATAATATCTGATATAATATAGGATTACAAGATTATAGAATACTAAAACCTCAAAAAAAATGTATCAATCAAGTGTGCCGATCAAATACATCTTGAATCTTAAAGATCCATCAGTCATATTATGAAAAGGAATGAATGTAACATGAGTAGATAAGACTAGTAAAAATCTCATACAATTTAAATTTAAAAAGTGTTAAATGGGTCCTCCTGCACACAGCCCGGTTCGAATAATACCATAAAAATAAATTTTTCAATTTTAATTGTTGTGTTTATATTCTTGATTTGAAGTGTGTAAAAATAAAAATAAAAACTTTTTGGTGCAACAATCTATTTTTTTCATTTGTACATATTTCTACCTAGCGATGCGTATAAGCATCATTCCCAAAAATTGGGTCCCTAAAGGACAATCATTTCCAAATTTACTGAACGAAATTTACATCATTTTCATATTTTTCATAATTTCTATTTGCATATAAGAAAACATCAACAATTCAAATTATTTTTATTCTTGGATTGATAGAAATGGTTAAAGTTTGGTAGTCGTTAATTTACCTGATAGTATCGGGAGTGTGTACGAGGGTCTAAAAATATTAAAGGTGCACCACCGAATCCTGAACATGCATCCTTCCCAGTTTCACCTCCAACACAGAGGTGTTTCCCAGTGATGGGGACAGAAGCTCCATAAAGCAAAGCACATCTCTCAATGGCTGAAATAGGAAGCTGAAGCTGTTGCTGTACAGGTAGAGAATCTAATGGTTTAAAAAAAAATTAAGTTAAACGGTAAATAAACAGTTCACAATGAATTTTTTTTTTTATTTGAGGCGTTTAATAAAAAAAAAAAAAAAAAAAAAAAAAAAAAGTTCACAATGAATAAAAATATGTAAGAATAAAATAACATCAAAAGAATGAAAAAGTATTAATTTACTTACTAACTTGACCGGCCAGTTTTCCCCAACCTACAAGCTGTGCTCTATGACCAACATAGATGTAGTCTTTGTTTGTTGAGTAGAGACAGATTGGCTGAACACTCTCTAAAAATACAGCAACAAAAATATTAAGTTCTATCAGATATTTTTCAATTTTGGCAATCATATATAAAATTAATCAGAAAGGAAATAGGTTTGTCCATTTCATTACAATAATATTACCTGTGTAATTCATTGGATATTTTAGAACAAGTAGAGCAATATTATCCGTGAAGGTTTTCGAGTCATAGTTAGGATGAACAATTATGTAATTAAGGGGAATATCTTCAGCATTAGGAGCACAATATCCATAAGCACAGTCTGGATCTTGATTACAATCATATTCCCCAACTTTCACTGAAACACTAAAATCCTATGTTTAAAACTTCAGTTTAATCAGGAGTGTCCAGAGGTATCAAAATTTTTGTGGGGACACATTTTTACATGGTTTTGAATGTTTTAGGGTGCCAACGTTCTAAAGGTATATGAATTTTTGGAATGAAATGTTTCAATCCGGGTGACAAGAGAAAAAGGATGGACCAGACTATAGCAAGTTTAATTGCATATGGGGGGGGGGGGGAGTGGCCGAATGTGCTAACGTGTGTGCACAGCACCATGAGTTGCCCAGCAACCAGATAACTGAAGTTATGAGATTTAAAAAAAAAGTACGAGTTTGCGTCACGATGCCGGATGAAATTTTAAATTCCCCGCACTCACCCTCAGGCCTGGGAAAATCCGGAGACTTCCCAGGGGACAACCAGTATCTATTAGTTGGGTATTCTTAATTAAAAAATGAAGGGGAAAATCTGGCAGTGTTGAATGTCATTTCGGCCAAATCCACATCCCTGCACAACCATTGACCAGGAAACAGTATTTCATTACATAGCAATAAACCCAATTACTAACCACTTATGTCATACAATATTTATTGTCTACCAACAATTTTATATAAGAGGGAGAGGGAGAGGGAGTGGGAGAGGGAGTGGGAGAGGGAGAGAGAGAGGGAGAGAGGGTGAGAGGGAGAGAGAGAGAGAGAGAGAGAGAGAGAGAGAGAGAGAGAGAGAGAGAGAGAGAGAGAGAGAGAGAGAGAGAGAGAGAGAGAGAGAGAGAGAGAGAGAGAGAGAGAGAGAGAGAGAGAGAGAGGAGAGAGAGAGAGAGAGAGAGAGAGAGAGAGAGAGAGAGAGAGAGAGAGAGAGAGAGAGAGAGAGAGAGAGAGAGAGAGAGAGAGGGAGAGAGGGAGAGGGAGAGGGAGAGAGGGAGAGGGAGAGGGAGAGGGAGAGAGGGAGAGGGATAGAGAGAGAGGGAGAGAGAGAGAGGGAGAGAGAGAGAGGGAGAGAGAGAGAGAGAGAGAGAGAGAGAGAGAGAGAGAGAGAGAGAGAGAGAGAGAGAGAGAGAGAGAGAGAGAGAGAGAGAGAGAGAGAGAGAGAGGAGAGAGAGAGAGAGAGAGAGAGAGAGAGAGAGAGAGAGAGAGAGAGAGAGAGAGAGGAGAGAGAGAGAGAGAGAGAGAGAGAGAGAGAGAGAGAGAGAGAGAGAGAGAGAGAGAGAGAGAGAGAGAGAGAGAGAGAGAGAGAGAGAGAGAGAGAGAGAGGAGAGAGAGAGAGAGAGAGAGAGAGAGAGAGAGAGAGAGAGAGAGAGAAATATATTACTCATATCAAATGCTTTTTAGATGATTGAATATTTGTATATATATATTCAATCATCTTAGAAGCATTAGATAAGCAAAAGATATTAATATAAATATAAATTCTTATAAATGCTACAGCAAAGTTTATGAAAATTTTATTTAACTCACATTTTATGTGTTGCTGTCTTTGCTAAAGCACAATGAGCTGCTGTTAAAATTGTTTGTTTGTTAATGATAGACCCACAGCATAGGTAGTCAATAGATTTAGTCAGTTTGTCTGAAATGATTATTGAAAATATATGAACCCAGACAAGAATTAAAGTTTAAATTGAAAATATATGGATAATTATTACTGTAAATAAAATGTAGGCTCTACTTACTTCTGAAACCGACACGAACAACCCATGGATGAATACCAATTGCAGAATAACTGGTGGACCACAAGTGAGAAATTCGTGGTCTTCCACATTCTTCCTTCTGGATGCTTGTTGGTGGTGGTGAACAAGTCTGTGGACAGCACACTAAAAGCTCGGAACCTTGAGATCCACAAGTTAGACCCCTTAACCTGATTTTAGAATTTAATTAATACAATTTTTAAAAAATATAGATTTTATAAGAATTTAATTTTTAGAGCACAATCAGAAAGTCTTATATAATCTAAGTTTTATTTATTTATTTATTCACTCTTCCTTGCCTTGCGGCAAAACAGGTGTCAGCAACTTTGTGGAGTATGCAAATGTTGCCAATTAACATCTAGCATTCACAGGCATCATGTACTCATTTCCAGGCAGCCTCTGTATTCTTTTTCGCCTCCTTTGCCTGGTAGTCGTCTTCTTTGAATAATGAAATGAGCAGATAATACATAATTTTATATAATCTAAGTTGCGAGTCTAAAAAATCTTATGATCCATGCTGAAAACGTTCTCCTAATTAAATAGTATAAATTAAGTAATCATTCAAAAAATAGTTCCAATAAATGTAATATAGAGTTCTCTTTTTTTCAAATGTTTTAAAAGAAAATTATCAATAAACCATTGTATAGAACATGTAGAGAAATAAAGGTACTAAAAACCTGTTTTAGTGTTTTTAACTAACCGTTAAAGGGTATTTTACTATAATAATCTATTTTTAATCATTATTGGTTTTTGAAAATCTAGTATGAGTTTAAAATTGTAAAAAAAGAAATAAGGAATATAAACAGTGTCCTTCCTTTCTTCTATTACAACTCCTGAATTAAAATATGTTGCTTCTAAATCAGTCCAGCCAGTCAATCATCTAAAATTAAAGAAACTTTCCTAAAATAATTTGAGAATCTTTATTAACTTTTTTTTTATTTTTTACATTTATTTGGAGGGGAGAAGGTGGATGGGGTGAGGGATATAGTTTTGAATATATCTTCATATTCTGAAGGAAGAAAATTTCATTTTGCTTATTACTGCTAAGGAAAAAATAGTACTTAGGCTGTAGCTGAGTATATTCTGTTGTCAGCCCATCATAAGAATTTTCTAAAAGAATCCAAAAACTGTTGGTTAAGTAAAAAAAAAACACCCCTAGTTTATTTCAGATTAAAAAAGTATGCAGTCATCATAATTTAAATAAATAATATCTGTGATTATTATAGCAGCTCTGCAGAGACCGTGAAGCTTGGCAGCGTTGTATTGAGACCCTTCCACCCTAGATATGGCACAAGAAGAAAGATAAGAGATATGATTATTATAAGGAATATTTTTTCATTTAAGAATTATTCGATATACGAACCTATAAAGCTAGGGATGTCAGAAAAATATTGATTTACATATATTACTAATATCGACGTCATAACTATACGATTGAAAACCGACAGTTTTCTAAAGAAAAAAAAATTGATACACAGACAAAAATATTTTTAATGTCTACTAGGAATGCCACTTCACAGGTTATCACATAAAAATGAGATTATTTGAAAACTCAATACCTGAGAAATATTGGTTTATTATTTTTTTATATCTTACAATTAGTAATACGCCTTTTATTTCTTTTTCTTTTTTTTGGTTGGTATTGAAAATATAAATTTTTTTTACAGGTTTAAGTAAGTAACTATTAATTCTACTTTGATTTTCCTTTTTTTTTCTGTTGAGCGATTTAATTAATTGTTATTTAGTTTCTAATAATAAGTTATTTAGTAATAAATCTTTATATTTATATATAAATTTTTATAGGATTTTATAAACTCGTATGTATAGGATCTCCTTCCATTCTTATTAATAATACTTTATTTTTATATGTTCAAGTTATTTAATTGGTTTTTCTATTTCTAGTTCCTATAAATAAGCTTTTATTTCCTTTATTGACAATTTTAATAAATTTATACTTTTTTAGATAATAAACTAACTGATGCACCCGTCGTTGGCCAGTGTTTAGTTAAAATTTGAGAACCTTTTTTTGAGATGGATTTTGTCTTATGGGAGGAGGAATCCAAATTTAATTTCATAAAATTGGGGGGGAGGTTGTTTTGAAATTTTTTCTAGTGAGGCTTATAGAAGTCAAGGTTTCGCAATAGTTATAATAAAAACTTTGTTATTCAGCTATTTATTTAGGTGGCACACAACTAAACCGACCACCACCGATCCATTAAAATTTTATAAGTGTTTAATTTTTGGGATCCTCCCCCCTCTCCGATTTTTAGCTAATCCGTTTGGTTAATCCTAATAATGTATATGACAACATTTGTTAGGATCAGAAAGTTGAATCGAATGGCACCTTGAATGGGAAATCGGACGAAGTTGAAAAATGAGTGTGTTTTAAGCGATAAAGCGTTACAGATGTTTGGTATTTCGGATTTTTCCGTTGAGTTGTGAAAATTCTTTCCATCAGTTGAGTAGAACAACTTTTAAATGATGCTTGCGGTAGAATAGGTTGTAATGAGACAAATTACTCAAGAATTCATAACTTTGCTTCTACTCAATATTTTGTTTTCATTTAAAGCCAATGTTTTAAGTCAAGCAACCCTAAATATAATGTCAAAATTTCAAAAGTCTACCATTAGGTGTTGCTGAGCTTACCACTGACAAAATTTCGGTGGACAATACGGAAAAGTGGATTTGGTGTCTGTAATGTATGAAACGGAAAGATATGAAACGGGTTGATTCTATTCAATATACAGACAAAACCTTTATTTTATTTATATAGATATGAAAATATTTAATTGTTTCCAATTAATGTCTAACAAACAGGAGTCTACGGTCAGTGGGTCATCAATTTCGACCAAATTGTTTTTGTGATACTAAATTGAAAAATATTTGACAAATGTTTATGCCTTTTATTCCAATGGGCCCTAGGAGCACATAAAAAAAAATGTATAATTTCAAGCAAAAATTTATTTTTACTTTTTACCGTTTTTTTAGGTAAATATTCCAATCAATTTCTTTAGATTTCGCGAAAACAATTTTAATTTTTCAATTGCTTTAAAAATTCATATTGAAGTGTTTTTAGGTACGAAAAACGAATTTCAACTTTATTTCTCTCTAACAAATTCTTAAAACAAGACAAGCTGGTTGATTGGTTAAATTCAATATATCTATGACCTGTTAGATAGTATTTATTTTATTGATTTTTTTTTGTTTTTGAATCCGAGTGAAACGGTTGGAAGGAGACCGCCAGATCGGACCCTAAAAGATTGGCGACGACCATAGCAAGATGATAGCCCTGGAGCCAGGGCCCAAAAATCGACCTGATCGCAGGCGAAGGTTTGATTGTAAATTACGAAAGTGGAAGTTATTCTGAGTAAAAAAAACCTTGTCTACCGTTCCGGAGCCGCTGCTTTCAAAAATGGCGGCTGATTTAAAGAATATTAGTCCAATAATTTGAGGATCGAAACGGGAAATCCATTGCGAAAAATGTGAGAAAAGTTTCTATTTTTTTAACTTGTATATATGGGTTTAGGCATGTAAAAAACAAAATTTCTAACGCAGGCCACCAAGGGAAAACTTTTTACAGCCAAAAAAGTCAGATTTTTTCGATATTTTTTGGGGTTTTTCATCTATAACTCCTAAACAATGCATCAAAGCGAAAAATGTGTTCTTTAATAAATTAAAGAGCGTTAAATTTTGCGTCAAACGAGTACATATACTTTAAAATTTGGTTTCGCGGTAAGGAATAAAACCACGGTCAACCAACTCCGAGTTTTCCCAAATTGGCCAAAAACTGGGGCAAATTACTATAAATGGCCCTGTAACTTGGAAATGAGTTCCCTAAGAGGAAAAACTCATAGAATCAAAGTTGTAGAGCATCAAATTTTGCTTATACTCAGTATCAACTAATTTAATGTTGGTCACTTGCTGTGAACAAAATCGGTAATCTCCCGATGGCTAGAAATTGATAATGAAGGTAAACGTGATTTTCAATATTTCAACAGTATGGGTGTCTACACTAGCGGATCCAGGATTTAATTTTGGGGGGGGGGGGATTCAGCCCGAAACCTTTTTTTTTCATAAAAATAACGATAATTACTTTGGAAAAACAGAAAGAAACTAACTACCTATATGAAATGGTGTTTAAGTTATTCCTTAAGTACTTTTAAATGTAATTACACGAACAACAATACTTTAAGAGGTATTTTTTAAATTTTTTTCCCCATAAAACATGGTTATATTTTTCCATTTTGGGGGGAGGGGCTTCAGCCCGAAAGCCCCCCCCCCGTAGATCCGCCCGTGGGTGTCTATTCTACTGAGTTAGTTTTGTTTAAAGTCTGTTACATGCAGTATAAGCTTCTTTTCCACCTCTGAGCAGTGAAGGGTTTTGATAAACGATGTGCCGAATATACCGAATTTTGTAAAGGAATAACGAATCCCGATTCGAGATATATAATTGGCCAACAATAAGAATGTCAGTACCCAGTATACGCAAAATTTGATGCTCTACAACTTTGATTCTATGAGTTTTTCCTCTTAGGGAACTCATTTCCAAGTTACAGAGCCATTTATAGTAATTTGTCCCAGTTTTTGGCCAAATTGGGAAAACTCGGAGTTGATTGACCGTGGTTTTATACCTTACAGCGAAACCAAATTTTAAAGTATATGTACTCGTTTGACGCAAAATTTAACGCTCTTTAATTTATTAAAGAACACATTTTTCGCTTTATTGCATTGTTTAGGAGTTATAGATGAAGAACCCAAAACATATCGAAAAAAATCTGACTTTTTTGGCTGTAAAAAGTTTTCCCTTGGTGGTCTGCGTTAGCAATTTTGTTTTTTACATGTCTAAACTCATATATACAAGTTAAAAAAATTGAAACTTTTCTCACATTTTTTGCAATGGATTTCCCGTTTCGATCCTCAAATTATTGGCCTAATATTCTTTAAATCAGCCGCCATTTTTGAAATCAGCGGCTCCGGAACGGCAGACAAGGTTTTTTTTACTCAGAATAACATACACTTTCGTAATTTACAATCAAACCTTCGTCTGCGATCAGGTCGATTTTTGGGCCCTGGCTCCAGGGCTATGAGTTTGGTTGATGGCCTTCAAGGTTATCTGCGATCCTCCAAGTAATGTTCATAGCAATAATTGGGAAAGTAAAGACGAACCTCTGTATGGTAAAAATTTCTATTCCGAAGAAATAGATCTACAATGCCGTAAGGATAACTGTTTTACTTAAATAAATCTTATTATATTATAAATCTTATACCTCAATAATACTTATAAGTTTCATTAGAAATGATAAAGATTTTAAATAATATTAATTACTTATCGATTTGAACGCAGGATTGCTTCACAAGCTGCGAGATGATGTGACATTGGCTCAAACGAATGCAGATACTTCCATGAGAACACAAAAATTCTTGTCTTGGCGAATCAATGAATTTAGGATTTCTTGGACTCTCTTCTTCGATTACCAACTTTTCTACTGTAAATATGTCAAATGGGAAAGTGTTGTATTAGTTCAATGTACAAAAATAATTAACAATAAATAAAAAAGTTATGTACATTATCATCCTTTCTCCTTATTGCATTAACAAAATTTCCCATCTATATTATTGTTATCAATTTTTTATTACTTTATTTTAGGTTCTGGTACTTAGTTATTCTTCAGTTACTGTGTTTAGTATATTTCAATTACAACTACTCTATTTAGTATAGATCAATTATTCTGTTAAGTATACTTAAACTAAGCTGCTTTCTTAATTATACTTCATTTATTCTGTTTACTTAGTTATATATCATTTGATCTTTTTACTTTCACTTACATATAAAATAAATCGTAAAAGAAAGTATTACAATTGTGAAAATTTTTTAATCTCAGTTTCCAACGGAAGTACACGTTTTGAAGTCCCTTGAGTCCAAATAACCAAGTCCCGCAAAATGGTCTGTGTGTTCAACTTATCCATGTTGAAAATGAATATTCGGAAATAATAGTAAGAAGGTATACATATATTATAATATATCGTTGGAAACGGAAAAAGTGGAGAATTAATAAAAAACAATATATAATATAGAAAGTTGTAGAAGGTAACGAAGAGTGACGAAAAAAATATAAATAATAATTTCTAAAAACTAACATTATTTAAGGTAAATCAAGTGTTTTCAAGAAAATTAAATGCAATTTTCTTACTAAATGTAAACTTTTAAAATATTTTTTAAGTTTGATTGCAAGTGATTCAAGGCAATGGCATTGTTTAAGATACTATTTCATTGTACTTGTGTGAAAGAAAAAGTGAAATATTTCATGGATACGTTTATAACCTTAAATATATTTACTGTAGTTTAATAACTCTAGATCTGATATTATATTTAAATAATTAGGTATCTATTGTCTGTTTACTCCGATAAATCATTATGTAACCTTTTGGAAAATTAAATTAGTAAATAATTTGATCAATTTTCCCTTTGTGATATTGCAACAGAAACCACTTACAATTAGCGTGACAACTTTTGACCTGTCTATGACAGACAATGAAAATCCTTTAATTCCGTTTTAATAAACTTTGCAATGGAAAATAACAGTTTAATAATTAATATTCGTACAATCCATAATTAACGGATCGTACAATCCATAATCAACGAATCGTACAATCCATAATCAACCGGTGATATAATAAAGAGGACTTTTCTTATTTTAATAGTCTTTATGATTTTTTAGCTGTAATCTTTTAGGATTAGCTCAGTTAAAAATGCAATTCAAAAATTGTATATTAGCCCATCACGGCCAGAAAATAATTTCTATTCAAAGTTAAGCGGTAAGTGAAAATTGTGTGTTGCGCGCACCAGACTTTTTACTTTGTTATTAGATCTATTTAATAATTTTATATATTTTGTATTCATACTGTTTGTAATTTTCATGCAACTCCAATAATTCTTAATACACTTTTGATATCTAGTTCGATCTAGTCCTGAAGAAGATCTGCAAAGTTGGGTGAAAACGTCGGCCAGAAATAAAATAGTTTTTTCATTACTTTAAGTCTTTTCATGACCGCCATCTCGGACCATCTCATTCCTCCATAAATAAGAAAAGTTTGAATATTGGATATGCTAAGTTCTAACATTAATGAAAAAATCGTTTAATATAATATTTATTTTAATAGAGGCGGGAAATGGAAAAATATCTTTGGCGATGATCACCTCGTTCTCTCGGTTGAAGGACTCACTGTCACAATCAACAGGAAGCTTAATAACACCTATCATTAAAATCGTCGAATATTGCACATGAAAGTGACAAAAACAAGGACATTACCGATCTGTTTGAAAAAATAATAACATTTTAATATGTATTTACAAATATAACAAAATGAACGTAATGATACAACGAACATTAAGATTATTGACTAAACTAAAAAGAAAAAATAAATAAATACAACAGTTTACTTATTTCAAAGATCACGAAGCTTTTTTTGATAAATCAAACTGTGCAGGAAAGGTTATTTTATTTTATTGAAAGCACTAATGAATCCAGGATTTAATTATGGTAGAGCACAAGCGGATTTAATTTTGGGGAGGGCTTCAGCCCGAAAGCTTTTTTTTCATATATATATATATATATATATATATATATATATTTAATACATATTCGGTTCGGATTGGACATATACATATCGGATGAATTGGAAAAAAAAGAAAGAAACTATATGACATTGTGTTTAAGTGATTCTTGTAGTCCTATTAAATGATTTTAAACGAACAATAATACTTTAAAATATAGTTTTTAATATTTTTTTCTATAAAACATGGTTATATTTTACCATTTTGGGGGAGGCTTCAGCCCGATAATCCGTCTGTGTGGTAGAGGGTTCAGCCTGAAAGCTTATATATATATATATATATATATATATATATATATATATATATATATATATATATATATATATATATATACATATTATATATACGATTATTACTTTGATAAGAAACTAATTATCTCCACGAAATGGTGTTTTAAATGATTCTTAATGTCCTATTAAATATAATAATATGATCAATAGTACTTTTAGAGATAAGTTTTAAGTATTTATTTCACAAGACATGAATTTTCAGTTTCACTCTGAAAGACTCTCCCCTCTCTCATAGATCCGCCTGTGATTGAAGGTATACGAAAAAATTAAATCTTCTTCCTGTGGCAAGTATTTTATAATTTGTGTTCTCCTCTTACATATTCAACGTTGCGAGGTTATGCCCCATTTTCTGGAATATTCTTTTTCCTAAATATTGTCATATATGTCATCCGTAATTTTTTATGTAATTTTTCTTACATCTTTTTTATCTTATAAATATTCAATTATATCTTTTCACATTTATTCTATTTAGGAACATGTTAAACTTGAATTATTCAAGTTGTATTATTCTAATATTGTATAGTTACCCTGACTGTATATAAAGTCAGGGTAACTATACAATATTACAATGTTTCCAAATAGAACTAATGTAAAAAGAGATAAGAAAAATAACAGCACATAAAATGATGGATGATATGCATGACAATATTTAGGGATTCAACAAATTTTAAAAATAAATAAATTTTTCATTTGTTGATGAAGTGCTAATGACAATGCTCATTAGTATGTGATAGCCAAATGTTCCTGGAGGGAGCAAGAAATACTAATGAAATCAAGCTAAAACTTTTTGAATAAGCGATTACCAAGATATCACCAAAAAATGACTTGAAGTCGCCGGACCCGATCCTGTCGGACTATATTGGATAAATTGGAAATGATTCTAAGGTGGAAAAAATCATGGTATAGTCTGGGATAGTGTGTGGGACCTACTCTGTTGAATGAGTTTTTCGGACCATTAAACACTATAATTATTTATAATGGATATAAAAGAACAAAATAGATATTATTAAGATTTTTTATTGTGGAGGGCTTTTATTTTTTTTAAATCGGAAGTTAAATAATGTTATTATAAATAATTCACAATAAGAAAACAATTTTCACAATCATGACCTCGGGCTGTAATTTGTTTTTCAATACTTGATTTGAAAATGTTGACCAATTATTTAAATAAATCGTGTAATGAACATTCATGAATAATAAACATACATGTTTTAAAACTCAATTATGCCCCTGGAATAGTTTTCTCCGCCCCCCATCAAATATTAAATTTGCCACTAAAAAAAATATTTCCAGCTTCTTCCTTTCGTCGAACCTATCTGTTATCCATATAGAGAATTTAATTGATTCTTAAGCCATTAAAATACTTATTGATATTGTTTCTTATATCTATTTTTTTTTTTTTGTATCTTAATACTATTGATTGAATCCTAAATTTAAAGATCATATAAAGTTCAGAGAAAACTTGCCTTCATTGTTTTTCAAAGATAGTATATTATGCACAAAAGAGATTAGAAATAAAAACAATAAGTAAACTGACATTGTGTCCACAAAAAATAGTTGAAAGAAAGTAACTGCTCAATTTATAGTTCGCTCAACTTGTGCTGAATCCGTTTTGAACGTAGAGAACAGAGGGAACACCGAGACCTTCAACTTGAATTTGGCGCCTCTATTACGTCATTTAGATATATTTCTCCCCACCATTTGTGTCATGAAATTTGTGGTTAACTAACAAAGTTAAGCTTTTTGTCAACTCCAGTGGTATATATAAAAAAAAAACAATTTTTATGGAAATAACGTGTTTCATTTCTAAGTGTTCGGCATATATGCCAATCGTAATAAGTGTAGATCAATAACATTTATTTTAACCTTATTCCTCATTGGTTTAAGTTACAACGCTAAGGTTAGTTTTTGTATTTGTCCTTTAGAGTTAAATCGAATTTGTTTTTAAGAGAAATTAATATATGAATTATTATGGAGGGGGGTGAAGATGTACATAACAACAATGAAGATATTGACGATTTTTACGTTGTTGACTCCTGGAGTGAAAAATCTAGCCGCCCTGACATCAAATTTAACTCTGTTGGCAACAATATTCTTTCTGGGAAAGACAAATTATCATGTAGGAAACCTACTGAAGGTGAGATTGATGAATTTCTTGAGAACTTAAAGCAATCAAAGTCTAAACATAGAACATCAGGCTTAGAGGATAGTATTTGTAATTCTTTTGATAGTGGGAAACAGTGTGGTAATTTTATAAAGACACCAGAAGGGAATAGTAGGCATAAATTACATGTTAAAAATCAAGCAGATAAACAGTTCCCTCAACCTGTTAAAGCATTTAAACATTCGACAGTCTCTTATAAGCCTGGTGAAATACTTACAAAAACATTCTTTAGGGAGTCTTCTTTTAATGATCTATCTAAATCTATTAATAACAATCAGAAGATAAACATTCTGTCTTCTGATTCATTTCATGTTTCTATTGATCGGAATGAAGATTCTGGGGGTGGTTTTTCAGATGAGAAAGGCTCTCAGTGTACCAATGGACCTTGTAAGTCTACAATTATGGAGAGTTCTTCACGTCATCTAGGAGGCAGAAGTAGAAGTCCTTATACAAACTCTGCAAGTAGACATCATCCAGTTAGGGAAAACATGAGGTTTCCCCCACGAGAGGGTGGTAGAAACCATTCTCATATTGACAGTTTGAGAAATGATAAAAATTGTTTTCAAGATAAAAGACATTATGAGGGTATAAGAAGAAACAGGCGATCCAGGTCTAGAAGTAGAGAAAGGAAAAACTATCGAAGACGATCCTATGAGCGCAGATCAAGCCTTAGTCTTTCACCTCCACCTAAAAGGTAAAAAATAATCTATCTCTTTATATAAATTTCTAATAATAAATCAATGAATATATTTCTATGCAAATATATGTTAAATATGTGGTTCAGTCACACTTGTTCATAGAACATCGAAAGCATCCAGATTTGAGTTAGTTACAAATCATTTACTCACCATTTAAGTAGTAGTATACCCTTCACATGTTATGTACACTAATATAACTAAATGACATTTAGGTTATATCACATGCTCTTAATGAAGTTTATATTTATATTATATAACAGCAAAATAGAAATAGTAGATAAAAATCTTTAATTTATATGTCAGTGAATGCTATTTCATAATATACATTTTTCTTATTGATAATTTCCATTATTCAGTATCATGTAATTTTTAAATATTCTAAATCAGCTATAATCCTCACTAATTTCATTCCTTCTTAGGTAATAAATATCTAAATAAGCATAATTTTTTGTTTTGGTTTATGACTAACTACAATCTCAGCCCCCATTTTCATGATATTTACCATATTCATGATATTAACCATATTATTATGAATAACAATAATTATGAAGTTAATTCATTCAATAAAAATTATAGTGAGTAAAATGGAATCAATTATGAGTTGGCAGTATAGACCAATTTAATAATGCTCCAACAAAAAATAGAATAATTGAAGTGAGAATCATTATATAAATAGGCAAACACAAAACGGTTCAGACCCCTTATCTCCTTTATTATTCAACCGATTTTCTTCCTTCTTTTTTTGTTTTATAGCTACTGACGAGCTTTAGTGTTATCAATAAATAAAAATATGAAATAGTGTATAAATAAAAATATAAATGATAATTTGTTCAAAACAGTTAATCTTCTAAAGTTCTTCACCGATTTCTTTGAAATTTTTATACAACGTTGTCGCAATCAGATTTAGGAGTGTTTTTTTTCCTCCCCATTTCATTATCATCCGACCTTTCCTTTCGAAATGGTGGCCGGAAAATGTGATTCGTTTTAAACTGTAGTGCCATAACGGCTGCAACGATTTTAATGAAACTTGGCTACAGTCTTCCCCTTGTAACCTTTATAATTTATTTCTTTTAACGAGCCTGAGTAAATCAACCTTAATGTTGGTACCTTTTTAAAAACCTCAGTATCTATTTATAGTCAGTAACCAAAAGTTTCTTGGTACTCACAAACTTAAAAAATAGAAGGTTTCAATTTTTACTCTTGTTTATTAGTAACCAATAAAACAATTAAAAACATTTAGTACTTGAATTCATAAGTTCTATGACATAATTTAATTGAGAGCCTGCCTGTAAATATAAAAAATTATATACCTGTGTTTTACAGCAGGCCATATATTTTTAGAGATTCAACTGGGAAGATGTTACGTTTAAAACTATAATTGAACAATTTTGGTCACATAGGCGGAGAAAAATCTGGAGGAAAAAAATGAAGCTCTAAAAACATAAAATATACAGCCTTTAAATATACATGGTGAAACACAGTGTAGGCTCTTTGATAGTGTGGGGGTGAATGGCGGCTGCAGTTGTTGAACACTTGTCTTTCATTGATGGGGAAAAATGCTGTAATTTATTATGAACACAGTAGTCTAATGGCCCGAAGTTGGTGCCTTTACTGTAACCCAAAATTGGTCAATCAACCTCCCAACATGAACCCTTATGAAACGCCGTTTTAAAAAATCACCTGTGGAATCATTTAAAATGATAAATCAGGAATAGTCCAAAAGCTACAATGAAGAACTTAAGAAGTATATATTTGGAGAATGGTTCTAGATACCAACTTTTATGACCTCAAAACTGGTTTCATATATGCCCGATAGGCTCAAGGAAGTAATAAAAACTAAGGACAATCTCACTAAATATTAATTTATTAATTACAACAAAAATATCAAATTTGTTATTGTTATTTAAAGAAAGTGTCCAAAAACTTTTATTACCTTTATTTTCACCATTTTAAAGTTAAATTGAATTATGTTATAAAGCTTATGAATTGAAGTACTAAATGTTATTACTTGTTTCATTGGTTACAAACCCAATGAATAAAAATTGAAACCTTCTATTTGTCCAGAAGTTTTGTTATTGAGCGTACTTCAGAAGAATTAACTTAATATTATACAACCAATTATTTGTTTTTTCATGAAACATCAACTTTTTAAAAATAAAACATGGATAAATGTAATCATATTTTTTAACTAACCAAAACAGACTAAAGAATTAGTTTTTATTTAATTTACCCAGTCAGTACTATGAGAAGACAATTGGTATCAAATTAGCAGTTTTAAACACTTTCATTTTTTTTAAAAATAAGTCTTTGATTGATCTAGGGAATAAAAAGGGATAATTACTTGCTGATAGATCTAGTTGAGGAACATCCAATTTTTAATATTTGTAGTTGATATGAAGAGGATGGAAGGATAGGTGAAAAAGGTGTTAAAAAAACTTGAATAAGAAAAACAAAATCAAAGCTAGACATAAGCTTTTGTATTCTCTAGTAATTATTTATGGAAGAAATTTTTAACAGGGACAGAACTATTCTTTTGCACATAGACCTGATAAAGTTGTAGCATTTTGCTTTATCTATATTAACCTGCTGATTAATCAAAAATCTTTTTTTCTAAAAAAAAGAAAAGATTCTTTACTCCTTGTCTTCTTATATGGCCAATCTCGAAAATGGACGATTATTATCACATAGAATGAAAACTCATATTGTCAGGTTTAATTTGATACAACTGGCTAATTTGCTTTAATTTTTTTATCTTTGATCTTATAGAAAAGACTTTCTTTAGCTGAGCAGCTCATTGTTTTTAATGATTTAGCAACTTTTTATTCATTAGCTCTTTTTCTATAACTTTTTATTAGATTTAATGTTAGAGTCTCCATTAGTTATTTTGTGGACATTAAATTTAGCCTTTATTTTATAAAAAAAACAAAAACATTTTTAGGTTTCTCTACCAAAAATTGTGGCTTTATAATACTCACTGAATTTAAGTTCAATTGACTTCAGGATGATAATGAAATATCTCCTTTTCATCTGACATCTTGTTTAAAGTATATTACGTCACAGACTCACTACTTGTTATGTATTATCAAAATTAGGTCAGGATCTAGAACCAAATATTATCAAGTACTATATTTATAGTTAATGCAAATAGTATGCATTTTCAAAAGGTTGTTGAAGTAGGAATTAACAACCACACATATGGGAGAAACTAATAATAATAAAAACAGGAAGGTTATAAACATTAATTTCAAACAAATATTATGCTTAAGAAGTATTAATAACAAATGTGATAGAATACAAGTATGTTTAATTTGAATTGGAAAAATAGAATTGTCAATGCAGCCATATTCAATGTTTAATACTTAATTTACAATAGGCATTTGTTATAATTAGTCACATGACTAAATTATGTAGATTTATATATTTAGTATTTCATTTTACCTATGTTTTATTGTGTAAAATAAAGGTTATATTTCCAATTTAATATTTAATATGCTATGAGTGTAGGCTTAAATTATAATCTGTCTCTATACTTTATGGTGTTGTTTTTAATTAACCTGTTAAAATTATTTATTTGTTTTACCCTTAATTAATTCTAATTATTTATGATATCTATGACTTATTGTTTTGTTACTTTATCCCTAAAGTCTAATACTAATGACTAAATTTTGTTTCATTTTGTCATAATGTATTGTACTTTTTCACACATTCTAGAAGAAAGGTTAGTATTTTTCATGGAGATAGCTTTAGAAAATCTAAGGTAATTTCATAAGTCATATGCATTGATCATTTAATTGATATTAATAATTGCTTTAAAAATATTTTTAAGTTTACAATGTTTAACATAAATCACTTCTGTTTTAGTAATAACTTTATTTTTTCAAATTTATTTTAATCTATAAGAATGGTTTAAGATATGCTTTGATTTGATAATTTTCACTTTCATGTTATTTGGTTTACTTAATTTATTCAATTTACGATTAAAAGTTGCAATAAAGTAGTAAAAAAAATTTAGATCAATGGTCTAGAATGACTTGTGATTTAATTTTAATTCAAAATGATAAATTGATTATTGTGTCATTTAAAATTATTGGTTGAAATTCTTCCTTAACTTAATTTTGTTTTAATTTATATTTAAGACACGATATAGAATATATATAAAGTTTATTTCGAAACAGTAGTTAACAAGACTGCCTATTTTTTTAGCACAAATCCAATCATTATTTTCTAAATGTAATCTACTCTCAATGATATATATCTATATTTTAAGATAATAATAATAATGTTTCCAACTCAACTCATCGATCATGAGGATGAAATGTCTCCTATTCTTAGTAATGTTTTCTAATGGATTTTGAAATGTTATTTTATTGATTAACTAGTTCTATTGTTATATAAGGAGCTATAAGACTTATGTCGGTCTGTCTAGTAAGCTTGGGATATCTGTAGTCGACTTGTTATACAAATATACATTTCTATCTATCTGTCTTTGTATACAAAATAAAAATAAAATTATTATCATCCTTTAGTGTGAGCGTGCTTTGATTTAGGTTAAAATTATAAATACAACTTTGTCTTACACATTTCCCTATCTGTTTTTCAAAGGAGGCTTTTTAATTAAAATCGTATCTAAATGTGATTTGTTCAAAGTAAGAATCCTCTATTAATAATTTTTTAAAAATAATATGGTTCAATAAATAATTTATTATAAATTTTGCAACAAAATTAGTAATAAAAAGTGAACCTTTGTATAAGTAACTGGTATATCGATGGTGGTCTGATAAAACATGGTATGCTCACTTTGCATAAATTGACAAGAAAGAAAATTGGGATGTGAAGAATTACAAAACTCTGATGTGTCTTTTAAGTTTTTCTTTGTTAATTATTATTCTTTAGATTGAATACAACTAAAAATCCAATAAAAAATAATAAATAATCAGTCTAGTTATGTTGAAAAAAGATCATCTGATCAGACATGGCATTGGCTTTTTTTTTTTTTCAATACCTTGCTAGTTTAAAGGTATCATCTTATACTACACGAAGAACTCGCAAGTATTTACATTAATAGTGAAAAATCCGACTTTAGAAAAAATTGGACTTATGGTTTGCAAAACCTTCACAGATATGACAACATTATTGGAATAATTTTTATGTGTACTTTATTTAAGACTGTTTAGAAACTTAACATATTTTTCTGAATGCATATTACATTAAATAAAAATAATTTTTTATAAAATGTAATAAGTAAAAATGTTAAAATTAATTGGAATAATATTTTTTATTATATTTATTTTTTGCAGAGAAAGTGGAAATCAGAGCAGCATGGAACCAAGATCAATGCCATCTTACTATCAAAGTTCTGGTGCTCCGATACCACCCGATCCTTCATTCATGAATCCTAACCCTAATCCTAATTTTGTAAGTATTATTTTTTTTCTTTTATCTTTCATTATTTTGTATGACAAAATCTGTTGGTGGGATCCTGGACATTAATATTCCAAGTGATTAAGCAAAAAGTCCATTTTCCGTTTAGTAATCTGAAAAATTTTGTTGTTTTTTTCTATAACTTTGAGATTCATCTTTTTCATAGTAGTTGTTTTTGTTGCTAATGGTTACCTTATAATTTATAACATATTTCAACAAGTCTTGAAATATATAAATTTGTCATATTCATGTTTATTATTTGATCAGGTGAAAAAAATTAATTGGATAAATTCCAATAAATTTCTTTTTTTTTCATATTCTAATTTCTTTTTATTAGATGAGTTATAATGTATTATAAATTACAAAAAACATAGGCACTTTCAGTAAAGTAGGTATAGTCAATTTTATGATGAAAAAGTAAGTTAGGTTTGTTTTTAGTGTCATTTAAAACTCTTAAATATGAATTTTTATAGAAAAAAAAAAATGGGAATTGCAATACTTGATTTTCTTGGAAGATTTTTTTCTGGCTGTTAACTAAAGCATGCAAGATTTTATCCTAACAAATGTTAGTATAACTATTGAAAATCAGAATAACTGCCCTTCTAACCTATATCGTTATTAACTTTTTAATTTCATTCCTTTTTAAGTTGGAAATAAAGAAAGTCTTCCCAAACATTTTTATTTTATTTTAAAGAAGTATTTGCTTTTAATTTGCTTACAGAGGTGGAATTTATACCATTTCGTATATGTAGTTTTTAGAGCACTAAATTTTTAATAATTTTCAATGTGGATTTGTGGAGTTATCACAATTTTAATGTTTGTGATTTTACAAGGTCTAGCTTAAGCAAAAACTTTGTGGAAAATTTTTTAATTATTTAATGCAATAAAAATTTGTATGTAAGGGTTCTTCAAGGTGCGAAAAACGTATTTCAACTTTCAATACATATATTCAATGTATACCCACATTGCCCTATGTCGGTTGTTTCAATTTCTTTCCATGCTAAAACTATCTGCCAAATATAATATTTTTTCTAAAAGCAGCTCGATAACTAGAAGCAAAGATTTTTTATTCATAAGTAGTAACACTAAAAAAAAAAAAAAATTGGAATCGGTGACTTACTGACTGTGACCTGTTGTTAGTGAAAGTATATATGATACGTAAAAGGGTTCATATATAGAAAAATAACTTTATTCTGGGACAAAGTCACTTAAGAATAACAAAATAGTATAAGATTACATCTGGCCTAAATAAAAACAAAAGCAAAAAAAAAAAAATTAGGGAAACATGCTATATATAAAACAAATAAAACTATATTCAAAACACTTAAGACTATGGCAAGACACTTAAAACTACGTACAGTGGTAAAACAGTATAATTATAGAATTTTAAGAAAGAATAAATAAAAATACTTCTTTAAAATAATTTCTGTATTTTTGCTGAGAAAGAAAAAAGCCAAATCTGACAATATAAAATACCTGAGTACTTTGTAAATACATCATGATCATTTCTTAACGTTCCTATTGGTAAGAAATTAATTGTCTATATAAAAGAAAATAATAATAATAAACAAACAATAGATGTATTCAGTGGTATTGAGGGTAGAAAAATCTTGTATGCATCAAATATCCCCAACATTTGATGATAAATGGTGTGAAATAAATGTATAATGTCAAAACATTAGACTGTTTTTGGAACATGAATTGGAATAGATGGCTTATGAATGTGGATATGGAGGGGGAATGCCGAATTCCGATTGGGACGGAATCCCAGATATTGACAGAGCGAGCGATAAATGATTTTTGGAATGGGCCAGATCTGTGAAAAGAGATATTAAGGTCAGAAGGTCGAGATCTTGTGGAAAGGGAATGGACTGAGGACTTGAATTGGAGAAGATAATAAACGAAAGAAGAAAAATGACTGTTGATGATTTAATAGAGGAACAATGTACCTAGAAAATATTGTCTTTGGAAGGAGCGGAAGAACCACCTTAACTCAGTGTAGTGGTGAGAGGCATGGGAATATCTCAGAGTCCCAATTACAAATCTTAACCACTTGTTCATTAGTCTTATCAGTCTGCCACGGAGCTCCACGGAGAGGTTCTTGTTCACCTCACAGCTGTAATCAAAGCGGGGAAAGATGAGAGAGGAAAACTAGGAGTCTATGCATTTGTTGAAGTAGAAGATGATGGAAGTGATGGAATAGTTTGAGGGTAGAAATTGTCTGTCGGGTGATGTGAGAAATATGGTGATTCTAGGAGAGGGTTTGATCAATGAAAAAGCCTACATTTTTAACTCAGGAGTAGAAGGTGATTGGATGGTCATCTTGGTGTAGTACGGGAAAGTTGCTATTGAATCTAAGAAGGGGCAGCATTTAACCTTAATTTATTTACATTTGTCGATGCACTCATTCGATCTAGGTCTTCTTGAATCTTGGCAAATGCTACCAATAACTCGGGGAGAGAAAACGGTAGATAGATCTAAGAATCGTGTGCATAAAGGTGGTGGAATCAATGTAGGTCATTAATATAGGAGCTGAAAAGGAGAGGAGATATGCTTGATCCCTGGGCACCTCCCTAGGATAAAGAAAGGTTTATGTTATTTTAATGTTCTTTCTGTGTTTATATATCCATAAACAAGTGAAATTCACAAAAAAAAAAACATACATTAAAGTCTAGCTCGATAAAAAATATACTTGGATTTCCTGGAATAAACCGACAATATACTTATTAGAAGGTTTCTGATTCAGAACAGAAAGTTGTTTTCAAGGTCATTCAACTTGTGTTTACTTAAAACAAAATGTGGATTGTTCTCTTTTGTTAAATGCTTTCTATTTAATCTTCATGTTTTTATGGTTCTCTGAGTCTGAAATGTGATTTTCTAATTATCTTTTGTTGTTGTCATTATCTATTTCTCAGGTATCCTTGATCACAATAGTTTTGGACCAAATTTAATAAAACTTCAGGAGCTTAGCTGTTCAAATTTATTAGGAATGGTTTTTCAATAAAATAACCCAGCATGGAGATATAGGCTGCCTATGTTTGGTCCATTTACAAGCAATAGTTTAAGCAAATCAAAATTGATCTTAAGCGACTTGCAGATTTGTTTGTTTTAGCATTTAGATAAAGAATATCACTTGAATTTTTTGTTTTTTAATTGTTATTATTATTTTCAAGAGGTTCATTTTACTGCTTTTGTTTATTTTTTCAAATTATAACTTATTTTTTCTGAACTCAGCCGACATCATTTAGGGTATTAGGGGTTTTAGGACGATGAATTGTAAGATTATTATGCCCTGAAATCATTTATTTATCATATTCAGATTCAATGTGGTAAAATCTTTTAATCAATTTGAACAGTCACTATTCATAGTTTTAATATTGATAGTAAATATATTAAAAGTATTGAAAATATACATTTTTTTTTCTTTTTCTTTTTTTTTTTATTATTTCTTGTTTAAAACATCGGGCAGTTTTTTTTTCTTCTTCAAAATCCTGTAATTCCAAAACTTAATTCAATGAAAATTTGTTGGATTCTAACGTTTATATATAAAATACTAAACAAAATAAATATGGTATGTCCACTTACACGACTTTCCTACCACTCTCACAAAAGTTTTTATATCTTTAAATATGTCCCTTAAAAACAAAAGAAAAAACAAGTGAATTAGATTTATTTTCCTGAAAATTGATCAAAGAAACGATTTGAGAACGATTTCTTTGATAAACTAAAGCAATGTAAACCGCCTTGTTGAAGATCGATATAAAAAATTCAATACCCTCTAACATAGCTAATCAAAAACTTAGCTCAATTTTATCAGACAATAATTTCTTTTAAAAATAGAGGGGAAAGTGAAAATGTGTATTTCGGGCTCAGTGGGCTCTGAAACATAAAGAACCGATAAAAATTGCACATCAGAAATTTTACCCGGTCGCAATACTTTCCTTACCTAGGGATAGGAAAGTATAAATTTGTGAGGTACAATGTACAGCAGAATTAATTGGACTTTTTTAATTTAATTAATAATAATAATAAAAGGCTTAGCGAACCCGAAGGTTCGATGCCGACACCACCAATCGCTTATTACACACCTCCCTCCACCTCCACCTCCGTCCAAACCCAGTCCCTTCAGATCGTCTTTAATGCAATCTTCCCACCTTCGCTTCGGTCTACCCTTCGGACGCTTACCATTTGGCACCGCAAATATTAACCTTTTAATAATTCTCTCGTTACTAAGCCCAACAACTTTACAAGCCCATTTGATTCGCCGCGATGAAATTACCTCAATTATATTACTCGGATACAGCTCACGCAATTCGGCGTTGTGTAACCGTCTGAACTCTCCGGTTAACTCATCCTTCTTCGGTCCGAATATTCTACGCAATACTTTATTTTCAAAAACCTTAAGACGCTGCTCATCCCTTAATGTAAGTTTCGCATCCATAAAGAACTGTAGGCAAGATAATTGTTTTATAGATTCTAATTTTTAAGTTTCGGGACAAGAGGCGCGAACTAAGTAGTTTTGTCACGGAAAAATAACAAGCATTCCCCGCCTTTAGTCTAACCTTAATCTCTTCTTCAATTTCGTTTTTTCTAGTTATCGTAGAACCTAGGTACCTAAATTTATCTACCTGTTCAAATATATTACCATCTATATCGATATCACCAGTAGTATCGCCATTTTTGCAGCTAACCATATATTTTGTTTTATCCACGTTTATTTCGAGTCCTAGTTCTTTACCGGCTTTCATTAACGTTGTCGTATTTAGTTTTATAGTTTCAACGTCTTCGCTTAACAGTACCAGATCATCAGCATAGCCCAGCACGAATGTTGTCCCACCCAGATCCAACCCTTTCTCGGTACGCATTACCTCCCTAATGGCATGTTCTACTGCCAAATTGAACAGGACAGGCGAAAGGGAATCCCCCTGTTTTAAACCCGAACGAACCTCAAATTTTTCGGACAAATTATTACCGATTCTAACTTTATTGAGTGT